CAAAAAAAAAAAAAAAAAAAGAAAAAGAAAAAGAAAAGACAATTGTGGCAACTAGAGGAAGGGAGGTGAAAATGAAAGCTATTTCACATTCCAGGTGAGAGATAATGGTAGCATGGACTAGGACCATAGCAGCGGGGGTGGTAAAAAAAAATCATATTTGGGACTTGATGTACTTAGCTTTAAATAGAACTATGCAAAAGGCTGGTATGTTAATTTTGGTAGAGTCTGGAAGCAAAAGGAGAGCAAGATGACTCCTCTGCCATCAGGTGAAGTGCAGCTGAGTACAGATGTCTATTCCCACTGGATGTAGAGGTCTGAAGGGCAGAGGGTATTCCTGGCTTGGAAGTTATACTTGGAAAATATCTGACTGAGATGTGGTTCAAGAACTGAGTCCTAGGGCAATCCAAATGATCAACTGTGCCAAATGTGCTGACAGTTGAAGTAAAATGTGGACTGGAAATAACCACTGGACAAAGTCACTGGTGTAAGACAAATTGGTGTCAGTGATGGGAAGAAAAGCCTGATTGAGGTATGCTCAAAGTGCATGAATTTCTTTAATGAATAAATTGATGCATAATGTGGACTGAGATGGAAGAAAAGAACCTATAGATTAAAGGTAATTTAGGCTGGATGTGGTGGCTTATGCTTGTAACACCAGCACTGTAAGAGGCAAACGCAGGACTGCTTGCGACCAGGAGTTCGAGACCAGCCTGAGCAACAAAGAAAAACCTCGTCTCTACAAAAAAAAAATTTAACCAATATTTTAAAAATGTATTTTTTTTTTAAAGCGAATCAACCAGCCAAAAGAATGGACCTTACTTGGAAACTGAGACACTCTCCATTCAAATACTGACCTGATATTTGATAGCAAACAAACTTTTAAAATGTGTAACATGCTCATTTAAGACTCCCCGATTTTAGAAATTTTGACACTTCTTGTGAAAATAACTTCCAAAATAAGTCCTTAAGTTTAAATTTTTTTTTAACTTAGTAATTTGCTGCTTGGAAATCTTATAAAAGACATCTCTGAAATCCTAAGTGAAAATAAAAGCGAATTCATGGTGAAGAAATAGTTTCATAATAAGTTACTGATTCTCAAACATGTTCAAATATTCCCAGATTTAAAAATATATAAAGTCAGGCAGGGCGCAGTGGCTCACGCCTATAATCCCAGCACTTAGGGAGGCCAAGGTGAGAGGATTGCTTCAGCCCACACGTTTGAGACCAGCTTGGGCAACTTGGCGAGACCTCATCTCTACAATAAAATTTTAAAAATCAGCCGGGAGTGGTGGCGCGCACCTGGCACCTGTAGTTCCAGCTACTTGGAAGGCTGAGGTGGAAGGACCACCTGAGCCCAGCAGGTTGAGTCTGCAGTGGCCGAGAGCGTACCACCATACTCTAGTCTGGGCGACAGAGTAAGACGGGGACTCAAAAAAAAAAAAAGAGATTAAAAAAAAAAGAGAGAGAGAGATATGAGAGAGTTCAAACTCATTTTTTAAAAGTTATTTATTGGTAGTGGGGTTGCAGTTTATGTAACTTTAAAAAGTACATGCATATTTGTATTTTCGAATTTTCCTGTAAGGCATATGGGTGTCTTGTTTAATTGTATGCGTTAAATTACAAAAAGAAAAAAAAAAGGCAACGGATTACCAGCTGCCGCTTTTACTGATTGAAAACACGGAGAGATGCACTGCACGCGCCCGGAGACGGGTGGGGTCGGGGGAAGAGGCGGGGGTTGGGGGGGAAAGGAAGGGGGGGCGGAAACACACGCAGGCGCACTAGCAAGCCCTCGGCCTGAGGCGGGACTAGAACCTCGGTTAAAGGACAGCTCTTGCAGCCAATCAAAGACAGCGTTGGTGGCTTCTTGCTGAAGAAGACCGGAAGTCGGTTTCGGCTGTAGGGGCGAAGGCGGCTGCCGCCTGTATAAAGCCGGCGCTGAGGTGAGTGGGTGGCAGCGGCTCGGGGCTCCCGCCGGCGTGCCTTTCTCTCTCTGCCCCCCGCGGCTTCCTCCGTGCCAGGCTTGGGAATGGGGGAGGCCGCTCGCCTTCCCGTCTCGCGTCTCCGAGCGCGGCCTCCCCGCCGCCCGCGGAGGCCTCGGGGCACGCCCGGCAAAGGCGTCCCCGCGGGGCGAGCTCGAGGCTTCCTCCGCGCGGGAACGCCGAGCCGGCCTGGGGGTGGGAAGCCCCGGGATCTCGTCCCCGCCCTGCTGGCTTTTTAAACGTGTCGTTCGTCTTCTCTGGTCATTTTTCGTTTCATTTTCTTCTTTGAGTCGGAATCTCACTCTGTCGCCCAGGCCGGAGTGCAGTGGCACACGCGCGGCCACCTCCGCCTTCCAAGTGGCCGAAACTACGGGCGTGCGCCGCTACGCCCGGCCAGTTTTTTGATTTACTGTAGAGCTGAGGTCCCACCAGATTCCCCAGGCTGGTCTCGAACCCGTGGGTTTTGGCAGTCCTCTCGCCTGGGCCTCCCAAAGTGCTGGGCTTACAGGCCGAGCCACCAAGCCCGGCCTTTCTCTGTCCTTTTTAAGAACACAGCTGTGCCCGCCCTTTCTCCTCTTGGGAGCCGTTGTGAACACAATTGAGCGGTGGGTGGGTGGCCGGGCAGGGCGGTGGATCCCCAGCTGGGTCGTCAGATTCCTCTGGAGGGGCTGTGGGTTTTTTTTTGGTTTTGTGTGTTGGTTTGTTTTGAGTTGGAGTCCCACTCCGTCACTCAAGCTGGAGTGCCGGGGCGCGCTCACGGCCACCGCAGCCTCGACCCGCTGGGCCCCGGCGATCCTTCCGCCCCATCCTTCCAAGTAACTGCAACTCCAGGCGCGCGCGACCACGCCGGCCCGTTTTTGATTTACTTGTTTTGACGAGGGCCCGCATAATTGCCCGGTTGGATGCTGATTCATAAGGATACGGTTAAACACTCGACACTGTATCTTATCCAGTTATAAAGCTATATAGAGACTGAGAAAGTCCTTTAGGTATTGATATGGCAATGTCTCCGAAATTATTAAGACAGAAAAATAGCATGGTGCAAAATAGAGTATACAGTTTGATATTATTTGTGTAAAAAATTTTATGTGTGGGCTGAAGACTATATATGTTGTGTGAATGATGGAAAATATATATGCTTATAAATGTATACATATATGAATGTTTCTAGAAAGATATAGAAAACTGAGCACACTAGTTTTCTCTGAGACTGCAGAACAGGCTTGGCACTTATTTATTTTT